CGTTTCTACCACTGATGACATGTTTCTGAGCTACTGATCCTTCTCCTCTTTGTTTCTAAGCTTTGCATTCCTATCACCAGTAATTATCAATGTATGTTGACAGTACACTTGACTAGTTTCAAAGTAAAGAAGTTGGTAGAATTCAATTTTATTATTACTGGTTTTAGTAGTTGGTACATAACTTTGAATAATAGTGGTATTAACTGATATGCTTTGTTGTTGTTATGTACAGTTGAGTTGGTTCTGACTCATAGTGACTTTGTAAGGGCTTCTATGGCTTCAATTCTTTTGTGGGAGCAGAAAGCCTCATCTTTCCCCTGCCCAGAGGCTGGCAGGTTTGAGCCACAGACCTTGTGTGGTTCGTAGTCCAGTGCTTATTGTGTGAAGCCACTGCACTTGTAGGTCTACAGATATTATCCTACCACAGACAGCATTATACTTCAAGATAGAGGTTGAAATATTCTTTTTGATGATGAATGTGACAACATTTCTCTTCAATTTGTCATTTCTAACATAGCACACCATATGATTGTCAGATTCAAACTGGACAATACTCATCCATTTCAGGCCACTAATACCTAGGATACTGATCTTTATGAATTCCATTTCATTTCTGACACCTTCCAATTTTCCTGGATTCATATTTCATACATTCCACGTTCAGACTATTCATGGGTGTTGACAACTGCTTCTCCTCATTTTGAGTTGTGCTCCATCAGCAAATGTAGGTCCTGAAAGCTTTACTCATTTCAGTCAACTCTACTTTGAGGAAGCAGCTCTTTGAGGCCTTCCAACTTGAGGGGTTCATTTTCTGGCATTGTATCTCACAATATTTTCATGCTACTCATCATGTTTCAATATTCAATATTCTGATACTATCTGACAGTGTTCTAATGCTATTCATTAGGTTTTCAGTGGCTAAACATTCAGTAGTTCTCCTCTTCTTCCTCATAGTATGTCTTACTCTGGAAACTCAACTGAAGCCTGTCCACTACGGTATACCCGTGCTGGTATTTAAAATACTGGTTGCATAGCTTCTAGCATCACAACAACATGCAAGCCACCACAGTAAGACACACTAACAGACTGTGATCCACTCAACAGATGCTAAGAATTGGAAAAACTCATTTTAAATAAAACTCTTAGCAAAACAATAACAGAAGAAAAGGTATTTAACTTGATTTCATGTTTCAAGAGAAGACAATGAAAAATGAAATGTTAATAGTCTTCCTGTCATCAAATGCTACTATAATTATCAATAGTCTAAAACCCTTAGCTAATGCATTATGCCAGGAAAAAAATAACCACATCGAAAAGAAATTATAAAAATAATTGAAGGAATAAAGTAAAGTTGTCATGATTTGTAGATGATATTTTTACCTAAATAACTCACAGAAACTTAGAGCTAACTAGAAAAGTGTAGAAGGGTAGCCAAATATAAGGCCATTAAAACCAGTATTGCCCCCTATACTTGTACAGAAAAAACGGTTTCTTTTTCCTAAATGCATTTGGAATGACAACAAACATAAAATACACAGAAACAAACTTAAAAGGAAATGTATAAAGTTTATATGAAGAAACTACAAAGCTTTAACATAAAAGACTATGGCAAAAAGAAAAACTTCTCAAAGTTCTATAAAGGGATTGTTAACTATAATAAAGCTGTTTATTCTTCCAAAATTGTTAATATACTCCCAAACAAATTCCCATCAGGTATTTTATAGAACATAATAAGCTCACTCTAAAATTTACCTAGAAAAGTAAATGTGGAAGATATTTCAGTATAAGGAAACTTTTTTGACCAAGTACCAAAACATACAAAAAACTACAGAAATTATAGCACATACAGTGGGCCTGACTCAGTCTCCATCTGCAACTCCCTTCAAATCCCTAGCCCTCTTCAAATGACTTGGAAATGGGGGTAGGGGAGAAATGTCTAGCCAATAAGATTTAAGCAAACGTTAATAGGCAAGGCTTACAGGAAATCTAATTCTTTATCTTAAGGAAAATGATTCTGCTAGCATGCCCCTTTCAGCTTTTTGCCTCATCTTTCTTTCTTCCTGTCTGAAATGAAAGCATGAGGTCTGAAAAAGCAGCAGTCACCTTTTTGTGACCAAGAGGCAGCTTGAGGATGAATGCCTAGACCCTAAAGATGATAGACAGCTATTTCACAATCTATGCTAAAAATTTCAGGAATTAAACATCTGAATTTTGAAAAAGTATGTTTGTGTACAGACAGTAAAAACAATGAAAGAATATTTACATAATTTTGATGTAGAAAACCTTTTTTTATCAAGACAAAAAAATACACAAGATTTCTATTTGTTAAGAGAAAATCTAAACTAACCTCAACAATGTTGTTGTTAAGTGCCATTGAGCCGATTCTGACTCATAATAACATTGTATAGGGTTTCCGAAGAGCAGCTAGTGGGTTTGAAATGCTGACCCTGTGACTAGCAATCAAGTGTTTATCCTATAGTGCCACACCAGGACTCCAGATAATGGGCAATAGACACTGACAGAAAGTATTTGTACAGAATAGATAACAAAGGGTTAATAGTCATTCCCCAATATACAAAGTCCTAACGTGGTGCTGTGGAATTCTGGTGTGGCGCTGTGGGTTAATGTGTCAGACTGCAAAGCCGTTTGAACTGCAAGGTTCCTTTTGTTGTTGTTATGTGCCGTGGAGTCGGTCCTGACTCATAGCAACCCTGTACAGGGTTTCCGAGGCTGTAAATCTTTACGGGAGCCAAGAGCCTCATCTTTCTCCTGTGCACCACAATGTTGTTGTTAAGTGCCATCGAGTCAATTCCGACCCATAGCAACCCTGTATAGGGTTTCTGAGGAGCAGCTGGTGAGTTTGAAGTGCCGACTTTGTGATTCAAACCGACCTTGCAGTCCAGTGCATTACACAGCAGTGCTATACCAGTCATTTGGAACCCACACAACAACAGTTAACAGCAAAATTATACAAAGGCTCTTTAATTAATTTAAAAAGACAAATGGCAAATAGGGCAACAGGAAACTTGGTTCATGCATGCTGTATGTAAATCAAAGGTTTACATACCTGGGGACTGAACAAGTAATTGGTTTGACTAAACATGATTGGTTTAACCTTTCTCATACTAATGACAGCTTAGTTTTTTGTTGTTGTTTTGAGAGCTTAAGGATGCCTGTTTCCGTATAGATAGGTTCTTCAGTTTTGTGAAGAATGCATTAATTGAATGATCAATTTAATCTGGTGAGTGAAAAATTTGCATTCTCCTTATACTAGTTAGGGCAAGTGTCCTTTCACATGATCTTCAGTTTGCATTTCTTCTTAGATAAAGGAATTATACTTTTTGATCAGTTTCCAATCCAGTGCTTATCTTACAGCACCATACCAGGATTCCACATCTATACTAGGAAATATAATGCAGCCATTAAAAGAACAGTCTTAGTCCTTAACAACTAGTCAAATTATTTTTTTGCTTTGTTAAGCTTTTTCAGTTGTTTTTCAGGCAGTTTAAATTGCTAAAAATTCATTCTATAATGCAGCTATTATTATAGATTATTTCTAGTACTGACGATGATTGTAGACTGCTGCTGTGGCACTGTGGATCAGCACTGGACTGCAAACCACAAGGTCGGCAGTTCAAACCCACTAGCTGCTCCTGGAAAACCCTATACAGGGCAGTTGCAATGAAAAAGAACCGACTAGGAGGCACTTAATACCATTAATGACTGTAAACCTCAACTGTATTTACTAGGATACAACTATGCTCACTGATATTAAGGTAAGGTGTTCAGATGGTACAGTGATTAGAAGCTCATTTGCTAAGTGGAAGGTGGTGGTTCAAACCCAGGAGCGATTCTGTGAAAAAACAACAACAATGTAGCAGCCTGTTTTTCCACAAAGATTACTGCCCTGGAAATGCTGGAGGCCTACTTTGTCCTGAGTCAGAATCAGCTCAATGCTAATGAGTTTGGTTCTGGGTCTCCTAATATACTTTTATTCCTAAATACATGAATGCACATATTCACAAATACACAACATAGGTTCTATAAGTTCAAAATTTTCATATGTAAAGACTTCCAAGGCATAGTCTAAAGTGAAAAAGAAAGTGTCAGAACAGGAAATATAACATAATCCCGTTACAGTTTAAAAGTGACAAAAAGGGGGTTGGTAAAGGAGATAAAAACATAGACAAACTTGGAACTGGAATGATACATATCAGACTGTTAACAGTAGTTTCCTTTGGGAACTAAATAAAACTATATTCTATCAATTTTTAAAATAATGAGTACATATTAATATGAAGGCCTTCAGAAGTTCATGGGAAAATGGAATGAAAAGACAGTGGAATATTTCCATGAACTTTCTGAAGGCCCCTAGTATAGTCTTCCTTAAGTAACCAGACCAATAGCTTAATAGAACAACAACAACAAAAAATCCAGAAGATAAAATTAGTGTGGAATAGATCTTAATTAATTACATTTGGACAAGCTAATTTTGAGTTACTTATGGAGAATCCAAATAATGGTCACCAAGACAGATGAACAGTTGTTAGACGATGCAGAGGTTAAGAGAAGGCAGCTAAGAAAAAAGTACTGCCACATTTAACAGGTAAGAATAAACTGAAAATAGTATATCCAAAAGTGTCAGTCATGAAAACTTATACAATACAAATCTTTGTAGAACACTAAATCAAGTTAAATTAATTTGCACTGATCTTTACTGAGTAATCAACTGACATGTATGACATATCCAAAGGAAATTCATTTACTTTTTGTTTTCTAATAGTGAGAACAACTTTAAGGTCAAAGTGGACAATGTGCACAGCCTTTTTTTCTATCAGTATTTCTTATAAAAATAACCATGAGATTGAATTTACAAAAAGGAAAAATTAGAAAAAAATACATGCAAACATTATTCAATTGATTGCAACCAATTTAGTAGAAGGCAGTAACAATAGGACATTATGCTTTAAAGACTTAATAAATGAAGAAAAGAAACTCACTAAGCTCTGTAATAAGTTTAAGATTCTGTTGTCGGATATTTTCAAACTCTTGCTGTTTTTTCCGCATATGTTCTTCAGTTACTGCACAGCGATCACATAATCCTGCTCTTAACCTATGAGACAAAAACAAAATATTTTTCATCTACTAAAAGATATTTCCTTGAAGAGTGAAGTTAAGAAAAATGAAAAAAACAGCAATATAAACTTTTTTTGGCAGAGATCTTAAGGTAAATATCAAAATAATATACAGAATTAATAGTGACTTACTCTGAAGGGAATTGGTGAGTCGATTTTCTATTTTTAACCTTGAAAAAAAACTATCTGTATCTCTGCACTTTGATTAAGCAAACAAATATTTAAGAAAATTGAGATGCTAAGATCATTGGGGTACTTGGCAGGTGTCTTCAAATTCTGTATAGTCAATCATGTAAAAAAACGATTTATGATAGATCTAAGGGGCACTTTAACAAGAACTTTGTCCAAAGGAGTCCTGGTGTGGTGCTGTAGGATAAACAATGGACTAACCACAAAGTTGGTGGTTCAAGCCCACCAGCTGCTCCCTGGAAATCCTATACAGGATTGCTAGTAGTTGAACTGACTCGACGGTACTTAACAAGAAGGGACTAAAACAATAATCAATAGGCAGACATTACATGGACAGATGTCTCGCTAGTATAAGGACCTTTCCAACTAAAGTGGTCCTCCAAACTCATGGATTCCACAAGTAGATTCAACCAACCACTAATCAACAATATTAGGAGAGGAGGGAAGGGGTGACAAGAATCAATTAAGTGGTCAAAGCAATCTCTCAAAGGTTAATAGGGAACAAACGGCTATTTACACAACATTTAAATTGTATTAGGTATTGTAAGCAATCTAGAAATGATTTACATAATACACCCTAGAGGATGTGTTTGTGCAGTGTATGTAGGCTATATGCAAATACTACACCATTTCATGTAAGGAGCTGAGCTTCTGTAGATTTTTGTATGCACAGCAGTCCTGGGACAAATCCCCACAGATATTAAGGGCTGACTGTACTCAAGGATAGAATGGGCTACCTAAGGCAGTAGTGATTTCACTTGCCACTGGACATATTTAAGGACAGAAAAATGACCACTTAGAAACTGGGAAAGTAATTTAAATACAGGTAGAATGGATAATTATACCCATGGTCCCCACACATGATTGTATCTCAGAACGACCTGGGAAGCTGTAAAGGAAGAAAAGGAGGGAAAGATGACAGAGGTCCACAAGTCTCATCTCAAACCAAAACAAACCAAATGTCATTGAGTTAATGAAAACCATGGTAATCTCATGTACATCAGAGCAGAACTGAGCTCTACAGGGTTGTTGTTGTTAAGTGCCATCGAGTCGGTTCTGACCCATAGCGACCCTGAACAGGGTTTCCGAGGCTGTAAATCTTTACGGGAGCAGAAAGCCTCATCTTTCTCCCGCGGAGCAGCTGGTAGTTTCGTAAGACCAACTAAAGTAGAATCTGCAGAGATGGACCCAGGAATCTGCTCAGGAACTCCTCTTGTACATATTCTTCCAAGCTTTACCAACAGGCACCCTGTTTTTTTATATACTTTTTTATGTCTTATTCTAAAACTGCTCACTTTTGGTAACACTAAAAGTCCATTGAAAGCCAGATTTACTGGATACATTGAGACTGGAGGAATCCCTGAATGTATTGCCTGAAGCAACTTTTTAAAATTCAAACTGAAGTTACCCTATGAAGTCATCTTTAAACAATAGTTTAACTCAATAACGTTTGCCTAAGCATTGTGCTCTTTTAAATAATTATCTATATGAGATAAAATTGACAACAGTAACTCTAAAGCACAGATGAGAACTGTCTATGGGTAGAAAGTCTATGGGTGGAGATAGTGAGAAAGGTGACAGACACACTCTGAAGCATGTAACCACTACCAAGGAACAATGATTTAAAAACAGTTGAATGAGTATATGCTTTGTTGTATATATTTTTGCACACATACAATTATATTGAGATGGATCAAACTCTTTTCCTCTAGACTCTATTTAAACATTTTTGAAAATTCCTGAGTACTTAAAGCATCTAAACTTGCTGCCTTCCCACTCAGTTTGAAGTAAAGGTAGTCCTTGAACCTATGGAACCATCCATGACTTTAATAAAAATTTCATCAAGAGCACCTAGCTCTCTCTCTCTTCTCCCATCTCACTCTGTCTCTCCCTCCTGCTGCTTTGCTTTTAATTCTAGCTAAAATAAACTCACGGCTAAAAGAATAGTTAAATCAGTGGTAGAAGTCTTGCCTTGCAGGTGGGAGACCTGGGTGTGAGTCTCGGTCAGTACACCCTTAACACAATCACCGCTTGCCTATCCAGTGGAAGCCTGAGTGATTCTACTATACTAAACCGGTTTCAGCAGAGCTTCCAGACTAAGACATAGTAGGAAGAAAGGACTGGCAATCTACTTTAAAAAATCAGCCCATGAAAATTCTATGGATTATAACAGTCAAGTCCCATATAATAGGGTGGGCATGAGTGGGAGCCAACTTAATAGCAGTAGCACAAAAATGATTATGCTTCACTCCTAGTGTCAGCTATTGGTGATAGCCTCAATTATTCCTTTGTTAAAACCCATCAAAATTCATTATAGTATAAAATTAGAAAATGAATGATTTGTTTCTGGTTTTTTGCTTTTAATAGGTCTTCAGAAAAGTCTGACAGTCACACACAGGTAGGTGCCAAGAGATTTAAAGAAGCTTCAAAACACTTTCTATATATTTTAAATTAATGATTCTGGGAAGCATGAGAAACATTAGAAATAAAAATAACTTAGGAGAGAGCATGATTATAATAAGAAGCAAGTATAAGTAGTAAAGAATGAGGGTTTTTTTTTTTTTTTTTTTGACATTTCAGGAAATAATGCATTCATAAAATGGCTAGAGGAGCAAATAGTAAAATTTTTCCAAGGAAATGTCAGCTTAAACACTGCAGATCAATACACATGATTACTCAAAATAAAGGTAGTAAAACAAATTTTAAAATAAAAACCCGAGCACAAGTATTTATCTTCCTTCTCTAAAAAGAGAGTCATAGTAAAGGAAAAAACCTGAAACAGGAAGACCACTGGAAGAGATACCATTAGTCCTCAAAACATTGCAAAATATTACTGTTAGATAGAAAAAAAGCCTGATGAGAGATAAAATGCAGAGGAAATAACAACTTAGAACACTTAAGAAGGGACTGCAGCAGAGGTGGGCAAATGATTTGCCAGAATTATTCCATAGTAGCCAGTCCAATGTCAGAGTTAGTGAGAAGTAACTGATTCTGTCTGAAGAGCAAAGATGTAAGGTTGAGGACTAAGGTGAGCCTGACACAAGCCATGGTATTTTAAATAACCTCTAATGGATGTGAAAGCTGGACAGTGAATAAGGAAGATCGTAGAAGAATTGATGCCTTTGAGTTGTGGTGTTGGAGAAGAATACTGAAAGTGCCATGGACTGCCAAAAGAACCAATAGATCTGTTTTGGAAGAAGTGCAGCCAGAGTGTTCCTTGGAGGCCAAGATGGCTAAGCTTCGTCTCTCATACTTTGGACATATTGTCAGGAGGGAACAGTCACTGGAGAAGGATGTCATGCTGGGTAAGATGGAGGGTAGGAGAAAAAGAGGACGACCCTCAACGAGATGGATTGGCCGGGTGGCATCACTGATGGCGTTAAGCGTGGCAGTGGTGGTGAGGTTGGCCCAGGATCGGACATTGTTTCATTCTGCTGTGCATGGGGTCGCTATGAGTTGGTTCCGACTCGATGGCACCTGACAACAACAACAACTGATTCTATCAGCTAGCTCCCATGTCTTCTACCTCATTATGGAGGAAAAAAATAATGCCACAGGCAGAATGGTTATGTGAATCAGCAAATCATCTCCCCAGTTAACACTGATACAACTGAACAAAACAGTAAAAAGAAAAAAATAAAGTCTCTAGAAATTGAGTAAATAGCATACAAGAATTGAAAAGCACTGAATGCTGAATTTTGCTAAGAACAATGAATTTTGCTAAAATAGTGAATTTTGCTAAGAACAGTGAATTTTGCTAAGCACTGAATTTTGATAAGAACAGTGTGAGTCTACAGTATGTCAGTACTCAAAGTTGCAAAAAGTCTATGCTGGGTAGGCAAGGCAACCTATGAGAACTAGCAGTTCCTATCGCCTCCTCCCAGGGTTCTGGCTCCATATGATGTTGTTGTTAAGTGCCGTTGAGTCAGTTGCTATGTTAAGTGCCATAGTGACCCTGTATAGGGTTTACGAGGAACTGCCAATCTTGCAGTTCAAACAGAATTTGCAGTCCAGCGCATTAGCCCACAGTGCCATGCCAGGACTCTTGGCCCCATATAGCAGAGGGTACATGCCCAGGATGGATGTAAGAAACTGTGAGAACTCAGGGTTAAATGGCCACTTGAGAGGGCTGACAATTTAGAGCAGTGTGGAAAAATCCATACTCAGAAGTGCTGTTAAAAATAATAGGGATCTTATATGTCAACTTGGCTGAGCTATGACTCTAAGCAGTTTGGAAATTACGTTATAACGTACTTTGGCAGTTGTGTAATATTGTACTCATCCTCTTTTTTTGTGATTTTATGTAGTCATCCTTCATTTGCACCTATGCTGATTTTTGCATAACAATCTGGTATTTGGAACTTAACCATATAGATAAATGATGAGTGGAAATATTGTAAGGCGACATCTGAAATAGATGGACAAAGGGATAGTCTCAAAGAGAATTTTAATAATTCATCCTTAAACTGGGGAAACTATTCTGAGTTTTGATAAATTATATTTCTGTTAATGGAACAAATAAACATGATGGTCAAGAATAAAAATAAATAAATAAATAAATGAAAATAATAATAATAATAATAGGGATCCCAGTGGAGAGCAATCAGAGAAGACTAAGTATTGTCTGTGATTCTAATACTAAACCAAGTAAATCCAAGTCAAACCAAACTGCTATCAAGTTGGTTCCGACTCACAGCAACTCTTTAGGACAAGGTAAAACTGACCCTATAGAGTTTCCAAGGCTGCAAATCATGACAGAAGTAGACTGCCACATGTTTCTTCCATGGTG